TTCTCTCAATATTTTCAGATTATCCAGTAGGACTAGAGGGAAATAATTGTCATATGGAAATCGTCTATTTGTAACTTTGAATTTAATGCAAATTGAAGTAAATGGAAACAATATCCATGCAATAACTAAATAAGGAAAGAGTATTTCAATGCTTGGTGATGATCAAAGTTCCACAGTGCGGTGCAAAATTTATTACGATTTGAATACGTTTGTGTATCAGTATAGTTGACAAGGGTGATGGAACAGCTATAAATTATTTATGCTATGAATATAGAATTCGTCAAAAGTTTCATCTAGTTTCTAGTGTCTTATCGCGGCTGGTTCCTCTAGCAACTTGTAATTAGTTGGCCGATCCGCTTCAACGACCATCACGACATGAATATGTATTTACTTATTAAGGACTCTTTCGTCTCGACCATATTTTCAGCTCTCGAATAATTCGATTTGCATGGGGGAGGGGAGGGAGGGCAGTCTCGATTACATTTTGTAAAATATCGCAGTTTGTTTTTGCTTTGTGAGGTACTCCGCGAAAGCTTGTATAATGAATGAATAAGTAAAGTTCATTTGTATGAAGAACACGGGAGAAATAATGTAAATAATGCTTTTAAGTGTGGTAAAATGTACACGAAAAACGAAAGGGTGTGTTATTATTATTATTATTACTATTAGTTTTTCAAAGTCAATCTCCATTTTTTGTTGTGCAACGGCTGCTCTTAAAAAAGAATACAACTTCTACGTGATTATTGTGAATTATGTATGTATTATTTTAATGGATCTTAGCGGTGTCGGAACAATTACGTGCACGACATTTTTTTTTTTTGGAAAGTTATTTTGGGGACACACTATCCCAACAATTTCGATGAAATTAAGACACAAAATACTTTATCATCCTGTGCATATTTATCACGACACTCTCGCGATCCATGAATATCAGAACACACCATATATGAAGAATTATGAATTAATTATTAATAAAGCTGTGTTATTAACTCTGTAAAGCTTCTGAAAGCTTTTGTATAGTATTCTAAAAAGAATAGAGCTGCAGCTTATCGTTAAATTATAGATTTACACGCACTAATGGAAAATTTGAAATTTCGAAAATATTTACTCTGCTTTAGTTTAAGTTTTACTTTAAAAAGTGAACCTAAAATATAGTACTTATTAAAATATAGTACTTATATTATAAATAAATCATTTCATTTTAAAAGTTACACTCATAAATACATCTACAAACTTCTCATAATCCCGACAGATTTGGTAAATCTGATATTAAAATCCAAATAAAATCCTACAAGAACTTCACTCTTCAAGAACCATTACCGCTTCTCATCGAAATTTCACTAGTTAGTAACTCTAAGCCGTGTTAAATCAAAAACATATATCTGCAGCTTACGCTTAAATCAAGTCGTTAATGCCAAGTTTATTTAATACATATATATTATAAAAAAAAAAATCTTAATTGCAATAAAACTGAAGGTATAACAGTTTATATTTCGGATGTACAGAGTGGATCATCTAAAAACTATGAATACTTTAAACTGTCAAAAATATTCTTGCTTTACCATTTGCAACATGGTAGACATTTTTGAAAAAAAAGAATTGTTTGTTATACGTCCTTTTTCAATGAAGTTGTAAAGTATGGACAATTTTTCATCAAGTATGCGAATACTCGAAATCCGACTAAATATTGAAAGTCAAAGCTAACTTAAACCATCTTTTGACTAGACGCATCTATTTTAACAACTTCACTATTAATCCGTTGCCCTCGACAAGCTTTTTTCGTATCATTTGCCAGCAGTTTATATTTACAAAGCATCACTTCAAATAAAATGATGTATGAATAACGTTGGAAATAATCATTCAAATAATCATTTACCAAATATCTTTCCAACATGTGATATCTTTTAAACTTAGAGCAATTATCGTGCATTGCGGGTTTGCTGGAACAGGTATAACATACAAGAGTTAATGACACACAGTTTCAATCTCTGGAAAAATCATATCGTCCACCATATTTTTGAACATTCGCCAGAAACAATAAGAAATCTAGCTTTATACGAATTATTCTGAATTATGTGAATTATCGAGTAGCAATTGACTCGAAGAACTGTCATCAGAAATTTCTCCCTCTGAAATTCTCTTGTTCTTCCTACGTCGTTGTTATAGCTT